TGGTGGGCATGCTGGTGGTGAGGGAGAGTCACTGAAAGGAAAGGAGATTACTAGGATTTGGACATTCACATCGGCACATACATTCTAAGTCATCGGGACTCAAGTGCCAACTCAAAATTAGTTAAAAGTCACAGAAAGCATAGTCTTAATATATTTAATTTTAGCCAAAATTTCATAAAGATAGAAGAGGACAAAATAAATAAGTCACAGAGATGGATCTGAGGAACATTATTGAGAGAAAAATATGTGATCTCAACTCTGAAATCGGATGTTGGAAACGTTGAATTCTGTTCTATGGATGGATGGATAGATGATGAATGGATGCATGCATGGATGAATGGATGATGGGTGGATGGATAAATGGATGGATAGACGGATGTACAGATGGATGGAGGATGGATGGACTGTTAGACCAACCTAAGAAAAGAAGTAAAAACATGGAGAAAATACCTCACATCTTTCACCATCTCAACATCTACAATGGGAAAGGAATCCACGATTTGCCTTGAGAAAACCTGGTAAGAACTGAAATATGGAGGATTTGCTCTGAAATTCAGAGGCACAGAATGGAGGTCACACTTCATGGAAACATATTCTAAGGGACTGTCTGACATTTTATTCCCAGTAATAATTGGACCAGGTGGATCTTTGTTAAACTGAGCTTTTTATGTGTGCAATGTAATTTGTTTTCACAATATCAGAGGTAAAAAGGGTTACTTTTTCATAGTCCATCTATCTGCAGCCAAGGATTAAGAGTTAAATACCCACAGAAGCAGGAAAAATAAACTCTACCACCTCTTGCCCATAAGAGAACTTCTTACCTTGTATCCCTTAGAGAGTGTTCCAACCTCGGGCTCTCTTCACGGCAGCCGAGTCCTGAGCTGAGACTGGACGGTTGCTGAGCTCTCAGGGCTCTGGACTCACTGCCCCAGGGGCCCAGTCCTTTGACTTGTCCTGCCCTTTCTCCTCAGGTCTGTGAACAGATTTTTTAAGGAGCACCTTGGCATCCTGGGCAAGTGAGTGACACCTAGGCCACACCCCTTCTCAGCTGCACTTCATGGGATCCTGTTTTAAAGGGAAACGACGCCTGTCATGGAGACAAAAGCTGTCAAACCTTTAGAGAAATGACTGCTGTTCTCAGGAAGTCTGGGGAAGTTCTAAAAGAGCAGAGGTCCAGACAAGGGACAGAAAACATGTCTTGAAATCATCACTATTGTTTAGGGTTAAAGAAAACAAGTTGGTGATCCATCTAAGCCTTGTTAAGTGCCATCAAGTCGGTTCTGACTCACAGCAACCCTGTGCAGGCTTTCCAAGGAGTGACTGGTGAGTTTGAACCACAGACTTTTCAGTTGGCAGTCCTGTGCTTATCCTACTGCCACACCAGGGTTCTATCTAAGGCCGTTATTGTTGTTGCTAAGTGCCACCTAGTCTGTTCTGACTCATAGCGACCCTGTAGAGCGTTTCCAAGGAGCACTGGTGAGTTTGAGCCTTGTGGTTCAAATGAACTTTGTGGTCCAGTGTTTTGTCCCACAGCGCCACACCAGGGTCACTATGAGTTGGAACCGACTCCACAGCACATAACAACAACAACAACAACACTACCAGAGTTCCTTAAGCTTGGATACTTCCTGTTATATACCAACAAGCAAGTAAGGGTTGTTTCCCGCCTGGCCAAAATGAGGTTAGTGCTCTTGACCTCTATGAGTCACAACCAACTCAACGGCACTACCCAACCAACCAAGGTGCTGTATAAATGGTAACGAAAAAGAGGAAGACATTGCGTTGGCAGTGGTAACAACATGGACTCAAACATAGCAACAACTGTGAAGAAGATGGCGCGATACTGGGCATCCTTCCTTCTGTTGCTATGAGTTGGAACCAAACAGCACCTAACAACAACAATGGAAGTCCACTCAGTCTCATGCCAAGGTCACTGGGCAGTTTCAAGGTTGTCTGTTCACTACTGTTTCCTTTCTCAACAGCTATCTAAAAGGACTGCTCTAGCCTTAGATGGGGAGTCCTGGTTGAAACTACCAGCTGTTCCACGGGAGAGAGAAGAGGCTTTCTGCTCCCATAAAGATTTACAGCCTTGGAAACCTTATACAACAACATCTGAGCTTGGTCTCCAACCTTCCTGCTTGTGCTCCAGGAGATGGGGATTTGTTGAGCACCTAACATGTACATGGTAAGCACTGGCACTGATGTGAAAGGTGACCCAGAGGGGCCTTGGGGTATGAGTGAGGACATGCAGCCTCAGAGAGGTGTGTTATTCCCATGAGCACCAGCCAACCCTGCTACAAGGTGGGCAAATCAAACCCCCAACCAAAACCCACTGCCATCGAGCAACTTGGACATTGGCTACCCAAAATAGGGGGCGGGGGGCTACAAAGGCAAGAAGTGACTGGCTTACAAGATTTCAAGAGGGAACCTAGATCCAGAAGGCCTGGAGGAAGGTAGACTCTCTAGTGAGTAGTATTCAATCTGACTAGCCGGGGCTGATGCAATGAAATGCAGACGAGTCTTTTGTGATACAATAGTGAATAATTGTTATCAGGACTGATTGTGAGGGTCAGAAATGTAAAGGTGGATTTTTTATAGCAAGGAGGGGAGTGATTAACTTTTCAGTCTAGGAGCGGAGGTCCCTAGGACCATCAAGGGAGAAGAGCAGAGAGCGGGACCCTACCCAGAGAAGCAGTGATGCCTGAAATGGAGCCAGAGATGATGACATGGAGCAATGGAGCAGTTGGAGACTTTAGATCCAGAGAGGGAGAGCGACTGTGTGCTGAAGACCTGGGGTGTACGGGGGAAGGAATGCATGGAGGGGATGAGATGATATACAATAGAATGAATGTAAAACCAATGTTCTCCTATGTAAACTATCACATAATTCACAATAAAACATTTAAGAAAAAAAAAAAAAAAAAAACCCACTGCCATTGAGTCGATGCCCCCTCACAGCAATCCTACACAGGGTTTCTGTAAATCTTTACGAGAGCAGACAGCCTCATCTTTCTCCATAGGAGTGGCTGGTGGGTTTGAACCCTGGACCTTGTGGTTAGCAGCCCAATACCTAACCCGCTGTACCACCAGAGTTCCTTAGAAAGTAGGCTTGTTGTTACGTGCTGCCAAGACGGTTCCGACTCATAGTGACGCTGAATAGGGTTTCCGAGAAACAGCTGTGGGGTTTGAACCTTGTGGTTCACTCAGTCCAGTGCTGAGGCTGCTGGGGGTTAAAAACAGAGGCAACACTCATGGAAGCAGCAGTCAAGAACTCAAACGACGTATTACGTTACGCAAATCTGCTGCAGAAGACCTTTTTAAAGTATGGAAGAGCAGAGATGTCAGCTTGAGGACTAAGGTGCGCCTGACCCAAGCCATGGTATTTTCAATAACCTCATATGCATGCGAAAGCTGGACAGTGAATAAGGAAGACCATAGAAGAATTGATGCTTTTGAGTTATGGTGTTGGAGGGGAATATTGAAAGTGCCATGGGCTGCCATAAGAACAAACAGATCTGTGTTGGAAGAAGTGCAGCCAGAGTGCTCCTTGGAGACCAGGATGGCCAGACTTTGTCTCTCATACTTCAGACATATTGTCAGGAGGGAGCAGTCACTGGAGAAGGAGATCATGTTTGGTAAGGTGGAGGGTTCAGAGAAAAAGAGGAAGACCCCCAGAGAGATGGATTGGCAAAGTGGCAGCATCAATGGGCTCAAGCGTGGCAACAGTAGTGAGGTTGGCCCAGGATCGGGCAATGTTTAATTCTGCTGTGCATAAGGTCACTATGGGTCAGTGCTGACTCGATGGCACCTAACAACAACATTCCAAAAGGTGATTTTGAATTTGGATCGTACATCTGGAATCTTACTTACTAACAAGGAAAATGTGTTCTCGACACGCTGTGTGTGTGAAAGGCCTTTGTCCTTTGTAAAGCACTGGACTCCTGGTTTGGTTACAGGATGAACACTAGATTGTTAATCACTAAGACAGGTTCAATCTCACCTGTCACTCCTCACAAACCATACACACGGTTTCTATGAGTCAGAACCAACTCAACAACACTTAACAACAACAGCACAGAATTAAGAAAACAAAAGTTAATCAGAATAAAACAGAATGTACCAGAGGGCTTCAAAAATGTTGTGAGAAAATTCCATTAACTTTAGATTCCAATTCTCTGTGAAATTCCGGAAGCCCCCTTGTACGTTATTCCATACCCATTTTGTTGGAGTTTCCCAACCCAGGTGCCCTAAGAAATAACTTCGGGGCCAACGGTTCCAGAGGGTAACAGGCAAACGATCCTTCCAGATGCACCATTTTCTAGAACTTCCTGGAGCCTGGCATCTCCTCCTTCAGTTCCTTCATCCTCATGAGTGTGGACAGTAGAGTCCCCACTGATGCCATGTTGTTATACTTCATTCCACAGATTGAGCAATGCAGACAGCCACCTCAGGGGCCAGGCGCACCCGCCCTGAGAACATTATCCGCTCTTCCTCATCTGGGGTGAAAACCCATGAGAAAGTCCCTAATCTTGTAATACTACGCCAGATGAGGGAATAAGGTGTTAGAGGAAGGGGGAAACGAGAGACCAAAGTAAACATAATCCTGCGGTGGGGTCAGTGTATACCACTGTGTTATTCAGCTTTGACTGGTAATTGTCCATACCAAATTTCAAGGAATTGTTTTGAATAAAGACATCTTAAAGAAAATAATGAATGACCTAGATGTTTATTTTCTTGAGTGTAAGGCTTAAAATACTGTCAGAAAACATCAAGTGAACACCTTACACACATACCAGATCTGAATTATTTTATTATTTGATCATTAAGATGCCACACAAGGTGACGATAATTCTGGATGACAGGGTGAAGTCATGCCCATGGCTTCTTGCCTCAGATTAGAACAATCGCTGCATTGAGGCTAGGGGCTGACATTCCAGGTAAGACTGACTTCCGTCTCAGGCACAGACGTGGGGAGAAGGGGGCAGCCAGCAAACCCGAAGCTACTCCTCAGCCGTCCCATCCAGGATGTGTTTAAAGGAGAATGGAGAAAACTTGTAACCAGCCCCAACGTAGAACTTGTTCTGGAACTCCACCCTGTCATTGAGGGTCAAGAAAAAGGGGGATTAAACATTGAAGCAGTCCTGCTGGTGTAATGGGTTAAGTGCTGGGCAGCTAACTCAAAAGTGGGGGGTTCAACCCACCCAGAGGTGGCTTGTAAGAAAAGGTCCAGTGTTCGATTTCCGAAAGGTCACAGCCTGGCAAACCCTATGAAGCAGTTCTACTTTGTACACAAGGGGGTGCCACGAGTCCAAATCAACTGGATGGCAACTAACACCACCAATCCCACCGACACCGGGAAGCCAGCGGTAACATGTGAACACTTATCATTGGAAAGGGGATCGATGAACGGAAATGGAGGTTTATACAGGGCATCCGTTAGACCCGTGTGGAGGCGTAGGTATTCCACGTCATTCAACATCACTCCAAGGTCACAGAAAGGTGAGCTGAGCATGGCTTGTATCCTGAACCCGGCACATACCCCTCAGCACCTGTCTCCAGGACCCAGCTCCTCACCAGTGAAGACGCAGTGCATGCAGGAAAGCTGAGAGACCCTCCATGATTAGGAGGATGGCGACAGTCAGGACGGCAAAGATGGCGAAAATGATGAAGACCCCAATGAGGCCTCCCCAGCCTCGCTGGCGAAGACCAATGTTCATCACCATGGTCCAGAGCACTTCAGAGAGTTCTGCAAGAGGCAACAGGAGAGTTCTCACCCAGGGGGCTCATCTTACCAGGGCAGAGTACCGGCTGCTCTCATCCTCTAAGAACGCAGAGATGGACCGACCACCAGGATTCGAGAAGGAGGACAGGTGAGGAGGACGGTGAGCTCTGAGGGATGCAAGTCTGCGAACCTCACATATGCAGAGGCAAGCAAACACAAACCTACAGCACCAATTTGTGTTCTTTTAGGCCCTTAAGTTTGGTCATTTGTTCGGGCAGTCCTAGAAAATGAGTGAAAATCCAACCATTTCACCAATAGGAAGCCAGCCGACTGGGAAACAAGTATCTCTTCCTAAGAAAGAAGACGCGTTCTCCTCACAAGCATGCCAGAAACAAGCCGAGATGCAGCTTCCCCTATGAGGCCTGGCCTGTGATTCCCACGGGGACCTGATGGTGACTCCCAGGGCCCCACTCACGGGCATGGGCCAGGCTCAAGGCCCAGAGGCGCAGGTACGAGGCCGTGTTGGAGATGCAGCCCAGGCAGTATTCGATGGTGTGGATGGCCTGGTGGACAAAGACGTCTCCAAAATTGAACTGGAAGAGAGAATATTGAAAATGAAGGGCTTTCTCCCAGGGAGCAGCTGGAGGACTCAGACCACTGACCCTGTGGTTATTAGTCAAGTACGTAAGCATTGTGCTGCCCAAGCCCCTTACAGTCCAACCCGGGGGAAATCGAGATTAATGTTGTCATCATCAAATCGATCACAACTCATGGTAACGCCATGTGTGCAAAGTAGAATTGTGTTCCACAGGGTTTTCTTCATTTTCTCTGGGAAACAGCTTCCTTCAGAAATAAGGGGGGAAGAAAGAAAAGACAAGAAAGTGATGAGAAAACAGAAAAGGTCAGAGAAGCAAGAAGCAGAGTCATGTGAGTGATGTGGAGAAAAGACAAACGCGGTGTCTCCCAACTCAGTACGGAGAAGCTCTGTGAAACCATGAAGGTTCAGGAAGGCAGGGCAGAGCTGGAGCGAGTAGATCTGTAATGTTGATGCCATGTGGGGAGAGGGGGAGAGGATGACGTCGCTCAGGATGGAGACCCCCACACAAGCGCCTATGGATGGAGACTGTGGGTGCCCCATCATGGACAGCTGTCCTTGGAGAAGGTAAGAAGGAAGGATGGGGGTGGAGATGGAATGGAAAGATGCTGAGGACATGAGATAAACTGACGGGGGAGGTTGTACTGGCCAGGCCAGGACTGACCAGAAAAGGAAGGTCGGTAAGTATCGCATCCTAAACTATGGCAGTAGCTCTGACAAACTTAATTAGCCATTACCATGGGTTACTCTTGTCACCTTTGAAAATTTGTTGGAAGAATCGTCCATGACTTAGGCTTTCACTAACCCTAAAGGACCAGTCATCCATTCACGTGAATACACGTTTGTAGGAATACCACCACAGACACAGCTCCTGGTGGGGGCTCTCTGGCCCCCTCCAGAGTTGGAGTAGACTCCAGTGGAAATCCCCAGCTTGCAGTGCAGGATTGGTGGGGAATTCAATCCTCCCAGGAAAACAGCCAGCTGCCTTCCCCTGGGAAAATGGGGCACAGATTCTGGAGCGGGAGTGGCTGCCCTTGGCAGAAAGGGGGCCTTGGAAAAGAAGGAAAAAGACAATCCACGAAATCACAGCCGAGGCAACGACATTCCAGAGACAGCCAGCCAAGCATGGAAGGGCAGGGGTTGAGGTCCGACAGCAGAGAAGAGGCTGTAGCAGCACGGTAGCCTCTGGGGGGAGGAGGCTGGAGAAACAGCCCACATTTTGTGGCAGTATCTAGGGCTTGATCTGGGCTCTGCTCTCCTGGTTTCAGGAAATCATGATAAAAGTAAGAGAATGCCCAGAGTGTGAACTGAGCCAGGAGACCTCAGTAACACTAGGACCTTCAGTATCACTGGATCAAGGTTGACATTCACTAGGCTGAGATGTTAAAATACTTCCATGTTTTCGTTAGTTGCCAATGAGTCGGGCCCCAACCTACGACAATCCCATGAACAACAGCAGGAAACACTGCACCATCCCCAGGGGTCGGTTGGGGATCAGACTGTGAGATCCATAGGGCTTTTGTTGGCTGGTTTTTGGAAGTAGATTGCTAGATCTTTCTTCCAAGCCCATTTCAGCCTAGAAACGCCACCGAAACTGGTTCAGCATCGTAGCCCACGTATCAGGTGCATTTAACTAAACAGGCCCAGAATTCAGGATGGAAGGGGAGAATTTTATCACGAACCGCTGTTGCCCTCAGAACTCTCCCACAGAGGCTGGGGAAGAGCTATTGCTCGGACCTGCTTTGGGGCTGCCCTTTCCCAGGGCCTCCCTGACCTCTTGTGACTGAGCCATCACACGGTTGCAGTTCAGTGGGGACTTACAGACCATTCCGAGTCTCCTGCTCATGCCCATCGGACAAGTTGGGGGCCGTGTCCTACTGGTTGTCCAGTGCTTTCAGTATCACCCGACTAGATCTCACTAGAATCTGTACAAACGGGGAAGCCTTCCTGGGGTGTCCAGTCCCGGGTACCTCTTCCTCGTGGTCATCCTGGGTTCCATGGCTAACTGTATAAGACTTCTTAGCAGGACTGATAGAGTGGTGTGAGTTACCACCTTCCATGCTTTCTGTGGAATCTCCTTGGACCAGGGATGCCTGCAGCTGTCACCAAGTGGAAGAAAAGAAGAGAGCTCTAAATTCACCTTAGAAGGACCACAATTCCACACATTTCGAAATAAACGTCCTCACTGCCTCTTAGCTATCTGGAACTCTGTATGGTTTACCTCTTTTACCTTTCAGGCCAATTCCTTAACACCTGATTTGACAGCAAAGTATCCTCGGGTCTAGAAAGGTTGATAAATGTGCCTAGGATCAGCAGAAAATCTTCCCAATATGAAAAGAACCACCAAGACCCTAATGAGCAGCCTCAGAGATCAAGTTCAAGGGGACAGGCCCCCAAGTGGTCTTTGGGCGCTCTTGTGACCCAGCCAGGTTACAGGTGTCAGCGGGTATGGCAGACTAAGAACCCTCTCTACTTCCTTGCCCAAGGCCGGGAAAGGGGGCAGCAGCCACACTGAGTCCAGCTGCTGTTGGCAGGCAGAGCTCTTGTGCACACAAATGAGTCTCTGGGCACAGGTGAACCAGCAGTCATCTGGTCCTCACCTTTGGGCAGGCTGAGTTTCTAGGAAGAAGCACACAGATATCTACAAACAAGTATCTGCTACCTTCCTTTGAAACATCTGATCACCTGTTTGGACAATTCTTCACCCCTTTCTTATTTCAGCTTCTCACCCATGAGCCCAAAAAGTATTTTTTGCTTGTTTTTTGTTAAATACCACCACATCGGTTCTGTATAGGGTTTCAGAGGAGCAACTGGTGGATTTGAACCGCCAACCTTGCAGTTAGCAGTGTAGTGCTTAGCCTAAAGTGTCACATCAGAACTCCTGTTTGCTTGATGATGGTGATGGTGATTGTATAGCTGTGGAGTAAGTTCCAACTTATAGTGACCCTGCGTAGGTTTTCTGAGGCTATAAATCTTTATGGGAACAGAAAGCCTCATCTTTCTAAGCAGCTGGTAGTTTCCAACTGCTGACCTTGGGGTGAGCAGACCGACTCGTAACCCAGAGCTACCAGAGCTCCTTTTGCTTGGCTTTTCTACTTATTTTTATCCCACATAAATGGCCTATCAGGGAAGTTGTAGAAGACTCAAGACTGTTGGGAAATAAAGCGGTGGGAGGAGAGGCAGTGAAACTAGAAAGAGGGCGCCACCTAGGGACGGACCTCCAGAACTTCAGTCTGACCAGGTCTGTCCAGCCCCTACCATCTTCCTGGTCAATACCCAGCAAAGATTAAAAAAAAAAAAAAAAAGGTTTTAACATTTGATTGACAGCCATCTAAGGCATACACATTCCATGAAAACTTCTGTTGTAGTGGTGGGAAGCACAGATAGTTATCCCAAATGGTGTCTGTATGTCATTTCTAGACCCACGACAAGCTGGGGAGGTTATGTGACAAGTAGAACTTCCCCACAGGATTTCAAAGGCTGTAATTTTTTTTTTTTTAATTTATTGTGAATTGATTAATAATTTACATAGGAGAACATCGGCTTTATACCATTGTTTCATTGCAATGATTACAATTTCCTCTGTGCAACATCATTCAACAGTATTTGCTTCCATTTCCAACTTTTTTGGGGCTGTGAATGGGGGGGTGGGAAGATGTATACAGAAACACTCAGGTATATGTAATAATTTAAACCACCAAAGGGCACAGTCTGCAAGTCTACCTCCTGGCCACCAGCACACAGCCTTTCTCTTTCCATGAGTTTTAGAGTCCTCAGCTGCTCCCTCTCTCCATGTCCTCATCTCTGCCTCTATCTCTGGTGTCACTGTTTCTCTGGATAGGGTCCCATATTCTACTTGTGCTCTTCTCCCTTGATGGTCCTAGGGTCGGTCCTCTGTTCCAGGAATGTAAAACTAACTACTCCCCCATTTTTGTTATAAAACTTCTACCTTTACAGTTGTGACAATCACAATTAGTAATGGTAACAATTACTCACTATTGAATCGTAAGAATCGTATCCCCATCTCTTTTCACCAAACTTGTCTAGACAAGATGAAAACTATTCAATGGGGACTCTATCTTCCCCCACATACTCTTCAACTAAACTCCCTCTTGAAAACTTGTAAGCCAGTCTCTTCATGCCTTTATTGTCCCCTCATTTTAGGTAGCCAGTGTCTAAGTCACCCATCCCTATCTACCCTGTGTACAGAGGGGATAGCATTGATACTTGATGTGAAGACTCCTTCCCTCTCTGTTGGTATTTGGAGCTACTACATCCATAAGTATAGGTCAAGCTCATCAAATTGTAGCAATTTACAATTGTTTCCTTTATAAAAAATTGTTTTTTTATTTTCCCTTGGTCAAGTTCTGATCATCAAGCCATCAAGGCTAGGTCAAATGGGTACTATCTGCAAGTTTGAGCGTTCTTGTGCATGTCCCCTCACTTCATATCAGCTGGATGCTTCACTCTCAGCTCTAGCCCTCCGTGGCTATGTCCTTGTCCATGAGCTCAGGAGTCCCCAGGTCTCACCACACCTCAGACCAACCAGCCCTTCCTCTTCTCTCTCTCTTCTCCAGGTCAACGGGAGTCTATGGAATGTGGCTGAACTCAGCCCGTTTCTTCATTGCTGCCTTCCCTCCTCAAAGGCTGTAAATCTTTATGGAAGCATGCGGACACATCGCTCTCCCAAGGAGTGGTGGGTGGGTTCAAACCACCAACGTTTTGATTAACAGCCAAGAGCTCTTAAATAAGCACTGGAAAGCGACCCTCCCTAGGGTATTATCTGATCTAGGTCGTCTTTAACGCTCTTCAAGGTTAAGCGTTGGGCTGCTATCAGAAAGGTCGGTGGTCTGAGCTTCCGATAGAATATTTATGTAGAATAGAATAAATAGGAAGTCCGAGCAAAAGGAGCTCTGGTAGCCTAGTGGGTTATGAGTCAGGCTGCTAACCCCAAGGTGAGCAGTTCTAAACTACCAGCTGTCTTCTCCCAAAAGGACTGACACCTCGGACACCCTACTCAGGGTCGCTGTGAGTCAGAATTGACTCGATGGCAGTGGGCTGAATTTCGGTTTCCCCCTGGGTAAATCAGCGGCTCAGGACCAACTTAAACAAAAGGAACAAGTGGGCTAACCTGCTATTTGCCAACATGAAAACCTGCAACGAATAAAATTGACGATGCTGAGCTCTTGCCCATGATCTGTGATGATCCCGTGAAGTCCCCACACTTATAACACTGATGCAAAACCACTTCTGTTGTTGTTGTTATTGGGGGTCATCGAGTTGGTTCAAAGTGACCTCAGGCATCAGAGTAGAACTGTCCCCTAGGGCTTACAGGAGCGGGTCACCAGTCCTTTTGCCAGAGGAGCCGCTGGCGGGTTTGAAACCCTGACCTTTCAGTTAACCACAATGCCACCAGGGTCCTCCCCCGCCCCACAAAAAAACAAAAACAAACTATCACAAGAGTTAGCTGCATATGAAGTGCATGGGCTAGGAATCGAACCTGAATCTGCAGCATGGAAGGTGAGAATTCTACCCCTGAGCCACCACCATGGCCTCATTACAGGCTAAGCTGAGAAGAAGAGCTGCAGGAGAGGTTTTGCTGCTGAGCGCTTCATTCCCTCCTTCAGGGCCAGCTTCCGGTCTCTTCCGAACAACACACATACACCACCACCACCACCCCCTCCCGCCTTCCTGCCCCCCTCCCCGTGAGTGAAGAGAGAGCAGCAGTCCTCACCTGGGCTCTCCGATGGTTAGCTCTGAGGATGAAGGGTTTAATCAGCAGCATCCAGGGCACAGAGATCAGAGCCATGACTACAAAGAAACTCTGGACTTCTTGCTGCAAAGACCAAAATGGTGAGAGGTTGTCATTTCAGCCTAACAAGGTAAAAGGGATTCACCATCATAGCTGGAACATTCCTATCGTGGATAGCGATTCCAGTCCCACTGTGGCCAGTGTCCACTTCAGGGGCACTGGAAGTCCACTCTATCCCCTACTCTCTGGCCATAGCATTTGCAAATAGTCCTTTGGGCATGAAGAACTCAAGAGACACAACGTAAGGAAACTTTGGTGATGGTGGTGTGTCGTGCAGTCAGTTCCGACTCATAGCGACCCTAGGCTGTAAATCTTTACAGAAGCAGAAAGCCTCATCTTTCTCCTGTGGAACAGCTGGTGGTTTCGAACTGCTGACCTTGAGGTTAGCAGCCCAATTCGTAATCACTATGCTACCAGAGCTCCTTAAAGGCACCTTTATTTCTCCTAAATCTGGGTGGTTGTCCCTGGTCCGGAAAGGCCCCGTGACCCCAGGCACTACTCTCGAGTAATCAGTGGGGTCATTTTAAGTCACAAACATGGTCTCTATTGGTTAATTTTATGAACCCAGCAGGACACTGTCTCAAAGGAAACCCTTGTGAGGGTAACGCAGGAATGGGAAGTGCTGCGTTCTGTTGTGCATGGGGTCGTGACGGCACCTGACAACAACAACATGAGATAATCATGTGCGCTCTCTGGGTCCCCACCCTCACCCCACGAAGAGGCTGCTTGCCATCTCTGCCTGACTTTCATGGCCGCCACGCAGGTGAGTTACCTGCTGGATTCTGGAGCACCCAATCGGAACCTGAACACTTTCTCTCAGGGACTCCGTGGAATAAGTTACATTGTAGAAATGCCAACTGTCTACAGATGGGCCAAGATCACCAACCATGTGTCACCGAACATGTACCTGTTGCCACTAGTTGATTCCACTTTGCAGTGATCCTGTAGGACAGAGTAGAACTGCCCCAGTAGGTTTCCAAGGTTGTCATCTTTACATAAGGCCACATCTTTCTACCTCAGAGGGGCTGATGGGTTCAAATCTCCATCCTTTCAGTCAGCAGCCAAGTGCATAGCCACTGTACCACCTGGGATCCTGTACAACCCAACAGGGTCACGAAAGTAGTAAGTTGGTCGCCAGAGAAGAGCTTTTAGAAGTGTATTTCTTCAATGATGAGTAGCTAAAAATCACTCCCTAGGAAATCTTGTCATGAGACATTTTGTTCTTATTCTTCGATGTGTCTGCAGGGGTGGCTGTTGTGGTGGTTGAAAGCTGTTGAGTCAGTTGCAAGTCATAGAGGCTCTGTATAGGTTTCCAAGAGCGGTTGGCGGGTTTGAACCACTGACCTAGCAGTTAACAATCCAGTGCTTACCCTACGGTGCCACATCAACCAGAAGTCAGCCTCAGGAGCATGTGTTTGGCTCCAGGAGGAGACCGGCTGCAGCTATGACACCCTGAACGGATAACACCATCCAGCCCACGCTACAACATGCTCCCAAGGAACCAGAACATACGGAAGTGAACCCTTATCTTCAGTGAAGACCCAGTTCCACCGACGTCACCACCATGCTAGTCACGGAGCGGCCAGGAGAAAAGACCCTTCTGTGTTAGCAGATAAGTGTTTGCAGAATTACTTTTATACCCAGCTGCAATGGGACATTTCTACTAAATGAAATATTAACTTGATAATGAGTCTGAAATGAATGGAAGAAATCACAATCGTGGTACACTCCAGGTGCTGGGGTTGACTGGCCAACAAGAGAGAGTAAAAGCATCTCCTCCAGCTGGTTCTGGAAACTCCTGGGAAAGCATGAGCTTGCTGGTTTCCTGGGCACCCATGACTCCTGCAAACGGAGAGGTCCCTCTTTGGTCCTGTTTTCATTTTCTTTCTTAGGAAAATTAACTAGAGTATGTTTTTTGACTAACAGACGACTACATGGTTAGGTGTTGGTTTTCACTCACTCACTCACTGCCCTGAAGTCAGTTCTGACATAACGACCCTGCACAGGGTTTCTGAGGCTGAAAATCTTTATGGGAGCAGAAAGCCTCATCTTTCTCCCAGGAATGACTGATAGTTTCAAACTGCTGACCTTGAGGTTCGCAGCCTGACTCATAACCACTACGCTACCAGAGCTCCTTATTCTGACTCATAGTGACCCTGTATATGGTTTCTGAGGCTATAAATCTTTATGGGAGCAGAAAGCCTCCAAAATACTATTTTGCACTAAGAATAAAATGCAAACAGAAAAAAGAAAAAGAAGAAAATGCTAGTTCAATATTTAAAGCACCTGGTGTCGTCCTGCAGGATAAATACAGGACGACTAACTGAAAGGCTGTCGGTTCTAAGCCCCCAGCCACTCCTCAGAAACCCACACAGGGTGGCTATGAGTTGGCTACGGCTCGACAGCACTTAACAAAAACAACTAAGTGTTATTTAGGTGCTATGCAGAGCACCCCCTTTATTTGGAGGGCCTGGGTGCTGCCAATAGTTAGCATGCTTGACCAAAAGGCTGGAGGTTCAAGCCCACCCAGAGGTGTCATGGAAGGAAGACTTGGAGGTCTACTTCTGGAAGCACAGTTCTACTCCGACACACATGGGGGGGCGCCAAGAGTTGTAACTGGCTCACCAGGAATTTGTTATTTAGAATATTTCCACCTTCAAGCCAAATCAACTGAAGATATATATAAATATATGTTTTTTCTTTTCTTTTTTCTTCTTTTAGCTTAGCCAACGCACAAGCCAATTTCCCCACAACCCCTGTGCAATAACCCATCTCGTGTGCCACATCGCAGCTCTGCTCTAGACACTTGAATATTCTTGTAAGCAGAGCCTCTATACTCGGAACCCTCAGTCCCTGCCTTTTGGACAGCGGCTCTGCAGTACTCTGCCTACAGGTGAGCCCGGGCATGCCCGAGTGGAAAGAGGAAAAAAGAAACTCAGTGATACCTGATATTCGTACAGGGGCCTGTTGGAAGGATCATCGTAGTTAAACAGGAACATGTTGATGAAGTGGATGAGGATGCTGGGGGCGCGCTGCGACACGTGCACATCATACTGGCACCATTTGAAAATGATCATGAAAACCAGGTATCCAAACAGACAGATGATAAAAATCATCTCGGGAATGAACTGCAGCGTGACGTTGATCAGTTTTCTGAAGTAGCTGGGGTTGGAAACACACACACACACAAAACCAGATCACAAAGGAAACCTTCAAAACTCAGCTGTGTTGTCAACTCCACCTCACAGCGCCCCCAAGTGGGTCAGAGTAGAACTGTGCAACACAGGGTTTTCATCTTGGATTCATGGTGTCTCATATGTGTTAGAATAGAACTGTGCTCCACAAGGTTTTCACATCTGATTCATGGCACCCCCAAGTGGGTCAGAGTGGGACTGTGCTCCACAAGGTTTTTATTGTTTTTAACTTTTATTGGGAATTGAGTGAAGATTTACAGAGCAGATCATTAGTTTTACATTCAACAAATTACGTTTTGCTTCATTACAATGATTGCAAGCCCTTCCATGTATTAACAGTTAACAGTATTTACTTGTACTGTGGGTTAATGCGCTGGACTGCAAAGTCGTTTTGAACGGCAAGGTCAGCAGTTCAAGCTCACAAGCCATTCCTTAGAACACTATACAGGGTCACTATGGGTCGGAACCAACTTGATGGCATTTAACAATAACAACTACTTAAATGATACATTTCCTGTGGCTTTCACTATATTCGTCTTTTCTCCTTTGCGTTGCGTGTTGCCTGCCCTGTCACCCATGTTGACATGTGTCTACACTCTAGCCTGTGAATAATTTTCCCTCCCCACACCCATAACTATCATAGATTGTTTCTTTCTTTCAACCAGTCACACATTTTGTTTCATTTCATGGATTACATGCCCCTCCCTGTAACAACAGTTACCTGTTTCCCTTTCACATCTTATTTTTCCTAAGAGTTTTCAACTTCTCATTTTTCAGAAGTAGATCTCCAGGCCTGTCTTCCGAGATGCCTCTTGTAGGGGCACTTAAACCCTGAACCTTTCACTTTGCAACTGAGTGTATCAGTCATTGCACCTCCTTGGAGGAGGGTTCCAGGGGAACGTTGTTATTAGATGCTGTTGAGTCAGCTCTGACTCATTACAACCCCACGTACAACAAAACAAAGCACTGCCCGGACCCTGTGCCATCCTCACAATTGTTGTTACGTCTGAACCCATTGCTGCTGCCACTGTGCCCATCTGTGTCTATTGAGGGTCTTTCTCTTTTTAGATGTCCCTCCACTTTACCAAAAAAGAAGTTTTTCTCCAGGGATGATCCTTCCAGGTAATACATTCAAAGCACATGAACAAAGTCTTGCTACCCTTACTTCTGAGGGACATTCTGGCTGCACTTCATCCTCTCCCAAAGTATATACTGTTCACTTTTCTGAACACAGCATCCACTCGCCAGCAAGCGGCAAGCACACCCAGAGGGAAGAGAAGAGAAAGACAAGAACTTTGAACCAGGGTCCAGAAGGCAAGGCTGGATGCAGAGCTTGGTAGGTGCCCAGAGCCTCACATGCATGAAAGACAGAAGAGCCATAGCAGGAGGCGGAAGCTTCCCCTGCAGATGCTCTGAGGCCAGGATTGGCAATCTGTGGTTCTCGGGTCAAATCGAGTGAAATGTCTGTTTTGTACAATTTGTAAGCGGAACATGGCTTTTACGTTCTTAAATGGTTGAAGAATCAATTTTACAACACGTGAGAGTTGCATAGGAGAAAGGAGAAGAGGGGGCTCAGTGCTTAGGAGAGCATGAGCTTAAAGGATCCCTGGTGGCACAGGGTGTTAATCACCAGGTCGCTAACAATCAGGTCAGTGGTTCAAACCCACCAGCTGCCCCACAAAAAATCAGGCTTTCTGCTCCCCTAAGGATTTTATTTTGAAACCCTGTGGGAACAGTTCTATTACTCTGTATAATACAGGCTCACTGGCATCCTGGTGTGGCGCTGTGGGTTAATGCACTGGACTGCAAAGTTGGTTTGAACCACAAGGTAGGTGGGTGGTTCAAGCTCACCAGCAGCTTCTCAGAAACTCTATACAGGGTTGCTATGGGTCAGAAGCAACTGGTCAGCACTTAACAACAACAGAGGGTCACTAGGAGTTGGAATCTTCCTGACGGCAATGGGTTTGGTTGGGGGAGTTTTGTTGTGAGCTTGTGCTAATGGTGGTTCTGTGGGTTAGGCATTGGTCTGCTAACAGAAAACTTGGCAGTTCAAACCCACCAGTTTCTCCTCAGGAGAAAGACAAGGCTGTCTGTTCCTGCAAAGATTTATAGCCTCAGAAACCCTATGCAGGTGCTGTGAGTTGGCATCAACTCGATGGCGGTGAGCTTGGGTTTTGGTGAAGGGTGAGGAGAAGTTTGCAGGGTGGATAAGGGAGACAGTGGATCATGGTGAACATAATTAATGTCACTGAACTGAACATGTGACGGTTATTGAAATGTCAAATGTTTTGGTACACACATACCTTCCAAAATTTAAACAGAACGAACCAATGACCTTGTGGTTAGCAGCCCAATTCTTAAGCCTCTGCTCCATTAGGACTCCTTTTTGCCCATAATGTTGTTGTTGTGGTTGTTAGGTGCCATCGAGTCAGTACCGACTCATAGCAACCTTATGCACAGCAGAACGAAACACTACCCAATCCTGGGCCAATATCACTATCATTGCCACGCTTGAGCCCATTGATAATGCCTCTTTGCCAATGCATCTCGCTGGGGGTCTTCTTTCAATTCCATTTTCCCATGAACTTTTGAAGCTCCTTCATATACACTTGTTAAGTGCTGTCCAGTTGGTTCCAACTCATGATGACCCTGTATAGGATTTCTAAGGAGTGGCTGGTGGGTTTGAACCACCGACCTTGTGGTTTGCATTTCAGTACTGATCCTACAGTGCCACACCAGGAGTCTTCATCTAGCCTTGGCGGAAGTAAATTTTAGAAGTTCTCCAATGATGGATCTTGATAGGGGAAAAGGAGGAGTCGATAAGACAATATGTTGAAACAAAAGCGTGACAGAGAGGATGCTGCCAGCCAGAAATGGCACCAACTGGGTTCAGAAAGAAGGGCACCTTGGCCAGAATTTGGTAGGCCCCCATCTGCCCAGCAGTGGATGGAGACAACACCAACCTCAACCTCTTGGTTCAGAAGGGCACAGCTTTAACTGGAAAATGCACGTCTTTCTTGACCTTCAAGAGACTCAGCTTCAGAGACAGAGTTGCCATTTCCAGCAAACCTGCTTGTCCTGGCTTACAGCGAGACCCGAGGGAAGACTTTCCATCCATTGGAGGACTCATGTGCCACCAGATGGTGGTTCTGTAAGGACTCATCCTTGGGTTTGATCAAACAAACAGAAAGGGACTCATGGAACTTACATGTGATTGAAGAGGCTGAGAACCACCCCGAACACCATCTGGACAATTCCCAGGATGACTGACATCTTCATTTTATAGGAATTCAAGAAGGTGAGCTTGTTTGATGCTAAGTTCCAAATCTGGATGGGAAAACAAGTCAACACACACATGAGCCCCAAGTTAGAAATCCTGTTGGAGTTGGGGGCACAGTTCCACTTTCCCAAAGCAGCCACGCCACTGGTCACACTGTCACCATTAGTCAGATTTAGCCTTGCTTCAGGATCAGAAAGGGGAAGGGACCATGCCCCCAATAAATGAAGCTTAATGACACAGTAGCAAACCCTCAGCGTGGTTCTGCACTTGATGAGTTTTCACCAAAAAGTTCACTGAAGGTGACAGGGACAGACTAGGGGCAAGAAGGAAGAGAGCTGGAGCTGAGACTACAGCAGGAAAAATAGCATCAGGTGTAAGAACACAACCAGCCACAAAAGGAAGGAACCTTCAGTACTCTGTGAATAGCACCAGGAGCAGATAGCCCCCAAAGGAAACAGAAGGGGTAGCACTCCATTTCCAAAAAGCCTGCACCCCTTTACTGAAAATCAAATGTTCCTCCCCTCTATTAAGACATAGGGAGAAGGCATCTGGGACCAGGAAGAGAAAATTGTACTTAATCCACACTCCCCAATCGACAGGGTCGTCTCCACTCGCAGAGACAGACCCACTTCTCTCTTTGAAGTGTACTTTCACTTTGCAATAAGCTGCTTCTGTAGTAATTAGTAGCAGTACTTACGTGCCATCGAGTCAGTACTGACTCACAGCAACCTTATTATACACACAGCAGAATGACACACTGCCCGATCCTGGGCCAACCTCACAATTGTTGCTACGCCTGAATCCATCGCTGCTGCCACCGTGCCAATCCATCTTATGGGGGGTCTTCCTCTTTTTCTCTGACCTTCAACCTTACCAAACATAATATCCGTCTCCAGGGACTGGTCCCTCCTGACAATATGTCTGAAGTAAGAGAGATGAGGTCTCATCATCCTGGCCTCCAAGGAGCACTCTGGCTGCACTTCTTCCAACACAGATTGGTTTGTTTTTCTGACTGTCCATGGTACTTTCAATATTCTCCTAAAACACCAAACCTCAAATTCACCAATTCCTCTAAGGTTTTCCTTATTCACTGTCCAGCTTTCACGTGCATATGAAGTTTGAAAATACCATGGCTTCGGTCAGGCGCACCTTAGTCTTCAAGCTGACATCTTTGCTCTTCAACACTTTAAAGAGATCTTGTGCAGCAGGTTTGCCTAATTGCTCGTGTGTAATTGAGAAGCAGCGACTCAGATAAGGCTGATTCTTGAGAGGGGGGACCAGGGGAAATGATACAAAAGGAACCAGGAACCGCTCCTATCCAAGGGAAATATCAAGGTTCTAGAAGAAATGGGGAAAATCCCCTGTGATTTTCTTCTTCCCTGTTCTAGATGAAAGGATGTTCTGAAATGGTACAGAGAGGTCTCAGGTCTTCCTCAGTTCCCTTAGGAATGGCATGTAGGTCTCCTACCCAAGAATTTATCCAATCCCTACTTTAAAATGCCACCGGTACTCAAGGAACTCTGGTAGCATAGTGGTTACGAATCGGGCTGCTAATCTCATGGTCAGCAGTTCAAAACTACCAGCTGATCTAGAGGAGAACGATGAGGCTTTCTGCTCCCATAAAGATTTACAGTCTTAGAAACCCTGTACAGGTCGCCGAGTCAGAACTGACTCCACGGCACATAACAACAATAACATCAACAACACTCTGAACTTCAGTGGCGTATCACTCTACAGATGGGAAGGGGCGCGTCTCTCAGGAAAACATTCTGCAGACAACGCTCCCGGAGCTTAAGGGTTGGTCAGGGGTCTTGCCTTCTGTGCCACCCCAATTGAGGCAGGCACCTAGACACAGTAGATGGGCAGGGACTGACTAGGGTCTCAGCTGGTCAGTGACCACAGTGGTGGATTTTCCTCCTCCCCACAGGGACCCCAAGCACCCCTGTGGGCTCCACTCCCACCTCGGTACACTGAGACCCACCCTCGCCGGCCCCAGAGCTCTCTTCTGCGCTCTGCATGTCCAATATGTGTACTTACTGGGCAACCAGAGTTTCTTAAAGAGGTGATTATTAACCACCAGGCCTATACATTTGTAATTGCCTCAGATGCATGTGAAAGTTGGACAATAAATAAAGAACTGTGGTGTTGGGAAGAATACTGAGAGTACCAAGTACTGTGAGAAGAACAAACCAATCTGTGTTGGAAGAAGCACAGTCAGAGTGCCCCTTAGAAGCCAGGATGGTGAGACTTTGGACATGTTAGCAGGAGGGACAGTGGAGGGTCAGTGAGAAAGTGGAAGACCCCACAGAGATGGACTGACCAGAAGCAGCAACGACAAAACCAAGGGTAGCAGCAGTGGCGAGGATGTCGCAGGATCGGGCAGGGTTTCATTCTGTTTGCATAGCGTCGCTAGGACTCCGAACTATGCTCCATGACACCTAATAACAACGCAACAACAGGGCACACCTGGTGGAGAATAAGGCAGTTGGCTGGGAGCTCTATGAAAAGTGTGTCAGGGCTGTGTAGAGGGTGCAGGGGGTGGAATGGTGTTTGTTTTTACTTGAATCCAGCAGGTGTGTCAGAAAAGCGACTCGTCATCATTCCTCAACATATATTTGCTGATTCAGTAGGTTCTAGCACCTTCTCTCTACCCAAGATCTTCAAACAAGACATTTTTGTCATAGCTATTATTCTTATGCAAGATTATTATCATGACTGAAATGAACAAGGGAGTCTTGGTAGGGCGCTGCGGGTTAATACGCTGGACTGCAAAGTCGGTATAAACCACAAGGTCAGTGGTTCAAGCTCACTAGCTGTTCCTCGGAAACCCTATACAAGGTCACTATGAGTTGGAACCGACCCAATGGCACCTAACAACAACAACATGAACAAGGAGTCCTGGTGTGGTGCTGTAGAATCAGCACTGGACTGCTAACAGAAAGGTCGGCAGTTCAAACCCACCAGCCACTCCTCAAAAACCCTATACAGGGTTGCTATGAGTCAGAACTGACTCAATGACACTTACCAATACCAAAGTGAACAATGTTTAAGCTTAATATATCCTGAAACTTATGATAAGCTTCCGAAAGAAAGAGAAAACACTAGTTGTTTTTTTAAAATCGACAAAAGCCAAAACAAATCCACTGCCAACGAGTCAGTGCAGACTCACAGCTACCCAGAGTGACCCGCGGTGACCCAGAGCCAGCAAGAGCCACCCACAGAGACCCAGAGCCACCCAGAACGACCCACAGTGACCCACAGCTACCCAGAGTGACCCGCAGTGACTCAGAGTGACCCGCAGCTACCCAGAGTGACCCGCGGTGACTCAGAGTGACCCGCAGCTACCCAGAGTGACCCGCGGTGACTCAGAGTGACCCGCAGTGACCCAGAGCCAGCAAGAGCCACCCACAGAGACCCAGAGCCACCCAGAACGACCCACAGTGACCCAGAGTGACCCACAGTGACTCATAACATTTCTAAAACTTAATCTTCACAGGAGTGGCCAGTCTCGTCTTTCTCCCTCAGAATGGCTGGTAGGTTTGAACCACCGACCTTGTGGTTAGCAGTCCAGTGTTTATCCTACAGAGCTAGGCCAAGACTCCACAAATATCCATTGAAGGGATAAATGCAAGACATTCACAAGTTATTTCATAATAAATATTTAACACAAGAGGGTATTATTACCGGATCAATCCCAAATGGGTAGGGGTTTCCAGAATACACTCCTGGCACAGCCGGGTCCAGCTGTAAGAAGGGGTTGGTCTCCACTATGTGGTCACTAGAGAAGGAGAAAGCAAAAGAGCAACGGTCAATCAGAGGTCAGAGAAACGACGTCAGGACTGTACATCCTGAGTGTGTGGTCAACCCAAGGCCAACAGCTGGGAGGTATAACGCGTACATCTGGCCCCATGAAGTGCCCCTCGGATGAAGAGCCCAGTGTTGTTCCAGTGCTGGGGCTCCCGAGGCACCCTCCCGCCTCCACAGTCTGAGCACCCAGTGAGCTCTCCCACTGACAAACAGAGAAAAGCTATAGTGATAATCCATCAGGAAGGAGGGCGGAGGCAGGGCTGAAGGGAGCACACGGGGCAGAAACAGGACAGGACGTAGCCCCGGGTGTCCACCGGCAGGTAAATGGATTAAACAGGAGGTGGACTGTCCATACGTCTTAGTCTCCCGTGTTTTTGTGATGCAAAGGCCACACGTGAGTGACACTTGTCCCACCGTAATCCTGTTTCACTCTCTGAGCACCTGCCATCTGCCACCCACAGCCTCAGCAGCCATTTCCAATCCTGCTGACAGTGGACAGACCAGGGAACCAGGGTTGCGATCTCTATATCCTCCCCCATAGCTTTCATGTTGAAATCAAGCTGCTCCAAATGCTGAATAAAATGCCTTGATGGAGAATCTGTGGTGTTGGCTGCTGGGCAGCAGGGACCCACACAGGTCAGCATCTGCTCCAGCAAGCCTAGGTCCAGAGCTCGGATTGTCTGAATTCCCTGCGAGACCAAGGTCCGTGCCAAATGCCCTCTCCCCTTGAAGCTTTGCTTCAAGTCCACCCAGTGTAGACCTGCTGTCCCTTATTCCACAGTGGCACCTGCCACAAGGCGTGTGCTCTATAAACCAGCTGCTCTGTGTCAGACCCGAAGTGGGCTTCACAACGTCTGCAGTGGTGACTTTTTGCAAGTTGATCACCTCCGGGTGAACTCAGACCCCCAAACTTTCAGCAGTTGAGTTAGTTCACGAGTGTATACTACCCATTGTTCCATAATACATGTTTAATCCATCTCAAAGCCCACCACCTTCGAGTCAATTCTGACTTACAGCAATCCTGTAGGGCAGAGGAGAACTGGCCCATAGGGTTTCAGAGGCTGTAAACTTTAATGGGAGCAGAATGTCTCATCTTTCTCTGGAGGGGCTGCTGGTGGGTTCGAACTGTTGACTTTTCAGTTAGCAATAAAGCACTTAACCACTGCACCACCAGGGCTCTTTACTTGCCCCCTAACGTATTTAAATTTAATGGAGCTCCAGTTTCAAAAACATGCCCACGTACTACACAAGGAAATGGCCCCTGGCCTTGCCCTCCTCAGGGGTAACTCTGGGCAGAGCCATGTGCAGACCTCTGCAGACCCTCATGGAGGCCAGGTGGTCAGCCGATGAGTGTCTACCTCTGAGTGTACACTTACGTCCAAGTGCCGTTTCTGAACATGGGTCGGACGCTCCACGAAGAACCGAAGATGTTGAAGGATTTGGAGAAGCAGTCGTTGTAAATGAGACCCGTGTAGATGGAGAAGATGCCCATGAGTAAGATGAGGTAGCGGCCATGGAAAAAGGTGTTCCAAATCTGGGCTCAAAGAGACAGAGAGGGGTGTTCAGCAGAGGTCCCACCTGTGTAGCCGCAGCAAGACATCCAGGGTCACGTGCCCATGGTAGCCACCAAAGCAACCCCATGAGAAAAAGCGTGCACGGTACATATGTGAGTCAGAGACAACTCCAGGTTGTTTATTTCTTTATAGCAGGCTGACATCCCTTAGCCCCCAAATTCAGTTTTACATTTCCAATTGCTTTAAAAACAGCCCAACTAAGCGGTTCTTAGCCATTTAAAGTCTGCCTGTTTTGCACATCCCACCAAACTGTCCAATATCTGCTGGTCATCGATATGACAAACCTTGCACTGACCTATAACGTAAGACCCCAAATGACCCTCAAGGGCAGAGCAGAGCTGACCTGTAGGGTTTCCAAGGCTACACATCTTCACAGGAGTAGATGTTTCTCCCACAGAGCAGCTGGTGGGTTCGAACCCCCGCCTTTTTGTTAACAGCTGGTACTTAACCACTGTTTCACTGAGGCTCCTTCTGTGGTCCTCAGCAGGGCTCCAATTCCCTACAGCCCTTTGGAGCTCTCTGACCCCGAGACTCCCCACCTCACCACAGAGGGACTTTACTTAGACAGGTAAGCCCTACCTGCCCTTGGCCCTGGAAGCAACCTTGCTCTCCTCCTTGTCTGGTGGTCTCCTGCTGGAGGAAAGGACTGCCCCGTGCACATGGCAACTGCCAGCACTTGGCCCCAACAAATAACTTATTGTGCAGCATTGCCATTTTGTGATCTTTTCTTCCAGCCCCATGACCCCCAAGCTCATTATAATTCGCATGGAGAGTTTCCCCGGCTCCTATCCTCCAACCACAAAAGCCCTAACCTGGTACTGATTCTTGTGGAAACCAAACCACATGGGCCACATACCTAACTTGTGCACGACTATGATAACAGGAGTTACGTGTGTAGGGAAGGGACAAGGGTTTCTGGGAGCCCTCTGGACTTCCTATACAACTTTTCTAGAAACTTAAAACTGCTCTCAAGAAGCCACTGATTAAAAACAAAACAAAACGTAATTGAAGCAGAATCTGATGCCTTTTGAGCTCAGGAGGGACTTGGACACAGGGACACTGAGGGACTGTTGGGTTTTATGTCTTTACTCATTTTTCAATGATGCTTTCTTATAATACTGGAACTGACATATATCCATGGATCCAGCCCTGCTGGAGGGTAACTTTGAGACCATCAGTGTTTTTTAAGGGAAATGATGTCCGTTCAAAGCGCAGAACATGAAAAACAAAATTGGTCTATATTTGCCCACAAGTCCCGTTACGAGTAACCTACAATTTCTAAACTTGTTGTTGTTGTTGTTGTTAAGTGCCGTCGAGTCAGTTCCGACCCATAGCGACCCTGTACAGGGTTTCCGAGGGTGTAAATCTTTACGGGAGTAGAAAGCCTCATCTTTCTCCCGCGGAGCAGCTGGTAGTTTCGAACCGCTGACCTTAAGGTTCGCAGCCCAATTCGTAACCACTACGCTACCAGAGCTCGTGTTAATTCCACCTGTAATAAAAAGTGGCCGATCACCTTAAAATACAGAATGTAGCTGGGAGTATGTTTCCACTTTGTAAGGTGTATGACAAGGGACAGACAGGGCTTCGTAATAACGTCCTTGGAAACAATGCAGATTCTCTGTGACAGAGACCTCTCAGGGAGCGGAGAAATGCCAAGTTCACAGAGGACACAGGAATGCAAGTTGAGGCTCTGATGTGAAAAACAGAAAAACCCCTGATACAGCTGATCCGTCATCGTTATTCGCAGATTCCGTATTTGCTAATTTGTTTACTCGCTAGAGTTTATTTGTAGCATCAACATCATATTCACAGCCGTCATCCACGTTCAGGGAAGAGACCTCCGTGTCCCCCATCTCTAGAGCATTTACTCTAGAAATCTGACTCTGCGAATTACAGGTAAATGTTTTTAAGTGGAAACAAGCCACTTCAAAGACCCAGCGGGAATGTTTCCTCCAGACTAGTCAATCCGGGAGGGAAGGAAATCTAACTTCAGCTGGCGCTTGGCTCCAAGCTGCAAATCTATCCTCATCATAAAGATAGCAGAAATTGTTTTTTTCTTTGGATAAAGGCAATTAGCAAACCCAAGTGGTCATCACAATTACCAGGTGAATTTAGGATGAGTTCCAACTCACAGCAACAACTGGTGGGTTTGAACTGCTGACCCTGCAATTAGCAGTCCAGTGCTTATCCTATAGCACCACACCAGATGTGGAGATTAGTTATCACTTATCTCGAGAACATGAAAAAAAATGGGTGGTACACATATTTGCTTTGCATTATAAACCAGAAACCAAACACACTGTCATTGAATTGACTCAGAGGAACCTTACTGGCCCGAGTAGAACTGCCCCATAGGGTTTGCTAGGCTATAATCTTTACAGCTTGTCGGATTCTTTGCTCAGCATACAGGCTGAGTAATATGGTGAAAGAATACAGCCTTGTCACACACCTTTCTTAATTTTAAAGCATTCAGTGTTCCCATGTTCTGTTCGAACAACTGCTTCTTGGTCCAGGTACAGATTCCTCATGATTACAATTATGTGTTCCACAATACTCATACTTCGCAGAGTTGTCCATAGCTTGTCATGATCCACACAATCGAAAGCCTTTGCATACTCAATAAAGCACAGGTAAACATTTTTTCTGATATTTTCTGCTTTCAGCCAAGATCCATTGGACATCAGTAATGATATGTCTCATTCCACGGCCTCTTCTGAATCCGGCTTGAACCTCTGGAAGTT